ATATATGTATATATATATATATTAACGATTATATATAAATGTAATGTGCGTATTTTTTTTGTTTCTGTTGTTGTCATGTGTTTCATGTGCACCGCTACATTCAGGACATCAACGGAACAGTCTCTGTATTGAACACTCGAAAGGGCGCTTTGTGAATGCTATAATTTATTGTTGAACTTCATCATCAGTGAGTGGATGGCGCTATCTGTTTGTGATTGATATTATTACCGATGTTCCCTGTAACATCCGTATTGTTACTGCCAACGTGGTTGTGGTCGTCGCCATTGTGTCTGCGTGATAGTCTGTGCGTTACTGTGAGCGATTATAGGCGGCGGCGGCGGCGGCAGCAAAGGGGACGAGCTCTATTTTTCATTTTGTAATTGCGCCTTATGTTGTTGAATGTATCTATTCTATTATGAATGATACATTGACGCTACTAACACTATGGTAAATTTGCCCATTGTGCTTCACACCGGCCGCTTGTAACGAATCTTTAATCGCATTGTGAAGGTAGTTCCAGCCTTTGGTACACGAGGAGGGATTTTTCTATTTGTCGACAAACAGAGCTCCGAATAGTTGTCGCACGCTAATTAGCGGTTAGTACGGTGAGTGTCCTTATACTCATACATTATGAACGCTAGGAATAAAAGAGAAAAATATAATTCGTACCAGTCAATCGATCGACAGCTCCTAGGAGTAATGCTACGTGTCGGTAACTTTCTTATTTGACTATCAATTAACTAGCACCCAGCCTTAGATATTGCTATGGAGGCTCATATATTGATGACTTAATGAAAGAACATTCGGGCAAAAACAAATATTCACAGCTGTATTTGCGTAGTACAGTATTTATGTTAAACTTAAGTCTGCAGGCATCGGCATTCGACGTATTGATGTATACCCCAACAAAATCGTGTCACAACATGACAGCAGTAAGTATTGAATCTTTGAGGCCTCATTGAGATCCAGAACACACAATCCCCTTTAATAAATACTCACTTTTGTTACACTGACAATAGCAGAATATATTTTCCCTCCATTTAGCTTGCTCGCCATCGAGTGTAATTATACCAGCTTGCCTGAGTAGCATACTCTTAAGTTAACCCACGTGTTGAGCCTGGCTACTGACGTGTCGTTCGTTCGACACTCGTTTCCAACTCGTCAACTAGTAAGCACAAACACGGCTTGAAATTCATCATATTCTGATATTAAAAAAAAAAAAAAAAAAGAAAAAACACTCATATAAAAATGCGGATTTTTTTTCTATTTTATTGTTTTCTGGTCGATAATAGTAATAGCGAATCAGAAGTAGCTGCCAACTCTACATATATCGATAAAACAAAACATTCAGTGGCCTCTTGATGGTGCTAATGTCTGTAATAGCACTCATAGTTGTACGTTAAGCCATTCGATGCGTTACCTGTTGTGCTATGGACCATAGATATAAAACAAATTGTGTGATCTCTCATTGTTTTCACGTTATGTGACGCGAGTGTGACAATGCTGTGTGGGGTTGACGTCGGATACGTGACTTCTAAGGTTAGCTATACTCATAAGAGAACTTACAATTAGGCCTGCTTGTTTCCGAAATTTTCTTGTCAAACACTTGCCATTGCTACAGCCTAGCTACGAGGTTAAGCGTACATTCATGGTGCGTTTTACGACCTTTCCGTTGTTTTTGTTCCGTTACGAAGTCACTTGAACATTAAACCCATAGCTTTTTGTCTTTCGCTTTGGCCTCTATATGCCATGTTGTGGCGAAGCCTTGCAAGATAGCTTCCATACTCTATAGCAATAAAGACAATAGGCGACTTTATATTAAGCTCCAATATGCTTGAGACGTTGTTGTTTCTCATCACATTTCGGCATAGTGGAACCTCGGCAGGCAGATTCTAAGCTAAAGTCGTAGGATTTGCATTGGGCTGTTAAATCGTTGTACGATACTCTTTTTTTTTTGCAGTTTTAAGCCATGAAATTGTATTTTTCTGTTCTATCACGTTTACGCAGCATCGTTCTCCTGGCTGATACGAACTTTAGTCGAGATTCTTTTGGCATGGCAGTCCAGCTTTATGCAAAACTTAAAATATCTAGATGATTAGTGTGGGTAGATAGTGGCAGTCGTAAGAGACAGTAAACGGCATTACTTGGTTATTTGTGTCATTGTTTACATATAAAAAAAAGCATGTTAAATACACTCTTTCTACTTTACCTCATATTACCATTGAATCTATAGACTTCTAAAATATAAATAAACATTAAACGTTGCGTAAGTTTTACTCGATCGAACCGTGATTAATGTGTAATGTAACTTTGAGATGTTTGCCAGCATTCGCCGTTCGTTTTCGGGAGAGATGCATCGTACTCGTATTAACAAATTGATTTTACGTCCTAACCTACTAGGAATTGCCAACGAAATCGTTCACTCGTATATTCTGTGCCATTTTCTAGCGTGATCTTCTCTGGTAGACGGGTTGCATCAATTCATATCTTTTCTATGTCGACAGTTTTCTTTAAGCCGGTTTTTTTTAGGGCTAATTCTAGTGGAAATCCTTTTGTATACCCCGCGTATTTCTATCTGTACCAAGCCCAATTCGTAAAAAGAACCATATCTTGCTTTGCTTTCTCATCTTCTGGTCTTATGTGCTACGAGAAGTCTTGACGGAAAGCGTTTTGCCGATGCTTTGTTTCTCATCGAAGAATTGCGTGATCTCGCCAACTCGTTATTCCGTCCTATGTCCTAATGTGCAGTGATCTTCTTGTGGTTTTGGAAAATTATTATGCCAACAACGAACTGCTATTTTGCCGAAGGCCTCGTTTTTTAGTCCTATTTCCGATTGATTCCACTTGCTTCGAGGAACTAGAACCCAACTATTGACCGCTAAGTTCCAGCACTATGACGATATGTTTGATTGCAAAATCGGTATTCTCGAATCTCTAACGCGTTCACAAATCATGGGTTCTTTGACTCAGTCGGTTTGTAATTACTTACAACCGTAGTCTAAAGGCTTCCCAACCTCTACAGCCCGCTAAATAAACACTGGATCGTTAATGAGACAACAGTGTGACAGAAACGTTATGCTTAGACATATGTTATTCATGTTTATATAGATGTATTCTCTACTCACAGATGCGGTGCCCTGAGCCCTCTGTCCTCGCCACTTAACATACCGATCCTGACATGTAAAAAAAACTGCGTGAATTAACCGATCGCTTGATCGATGCTATCGGGCGAGCTCTTAGCGATTAGAACAACCGCTATAATAATAAAGACGAGATACCACAAGTGTAACTTTTAGGGCTTTCGTACTAATTTCAACAGAGTCTGGATTTAAGATTCGTCATAACATAGGTACTGAAGTTGAATGAAGCATCTACGTAATGATCTTCAGCGCCAACTTCCGCTGTCACTTACCGATTCGATAACAAGTGTAATTAGCAGGCAGGATGTCTATACCGAAGTGACCTTTACCTTACCTTTATAATCAAGTAAATCATTTGCCGACATCTGTCAACAGAAATTCAATCGTACAAAACGCAGCACCTAATCTGGTGAACTGCGTCGTCTTCTTTAATATAGAAGCGAACACAGGTCGCACTAGATAGACTGAGCGTTGCTCTTAGGCCCTACACGTTTGTATGCTATTCACAAAAATTTCTATCTGTAACAGTTCGTGAATTACACAGGTGCAATGAAACGGGCCTTTTTTTTCCCAAACGCCACTGGTACGGGTAAAATATCAAGCATCGTAAACATTTAAGAACCTTCTTCATAGGAAACGGAAAGGAATGCATTAAGGTCTACTGGTAGCAGCGCGCATCGGCTTCTCAGAGCGACGCAAAAGCTCTAGGCCGTTTGCAAGGTAATCGCGCGCTCTGTAGCGGTTTGTGGTGTCATCGGAAAAACACATGACGTGCGTGACCCTCTGACCTTCTGTGATAAGAGGGTCGCTGAAGGAGATGCGCAGCCTAAAATATTGCTCGTTGCTAACCTACCTGCTCTCCCTATTACGCCTAGTAATTGTCGACGCCAGTGCCTCAAAACTTTTTGTTTGTTCGACTACGAACGGGAAGCCCGCGCGCATCTATATAGCCCGCCGCCTGTTAAGAATATGCAGGCATGAAGCTTTAGGTGGGCTTATTGCGGATTTGTTTCTTTGTGCCGACGAAAAATGGTGCGCCTTCCGTCGTAAACATCAGCTAAGTATTTTAAATCTGATAAAAGAAGTCGAATTGAGGAAGGTAAAACGGTTTGGCAAAGTTGGTGCACGGCCCGACAACGCTCAGGTGGCGTTTTCGTTGGCAGTACAGACAAGCGCCGAACAGTTTCAAATTCCAGGCGTCTTGAGAGCAAGACGAATTTTTTCAACGTTACCGCCACGTCGTTAAGGGTGTATATCGTGCGAGTTCATCAGGATTGCATGTGCATTCTCGTGGGTTACGCGTGCATAATAGAAGAGTCGGTGAAAAAAACCATGTTTGGTCCAAGTAACAGTTCGTATTCAACGTTCTAAATTTCTTTTTGCAGTGAACGAACTGTTGATGTGTACCCGTCAGTGCCTTTTCTTCTTTCCTATTTTTTTGTCATATGCATATGCATCACCATGATTTGGGTAAATTTAGCAAAAAGTCATTCTAGGCCACAGTACGGTGTATGTACTAGCGTACCGTGAGCATCGAAAATCAGATCCACTACAGACGTCGTGAAGCCAAGAGACAAACGAACCTGAAGTGATGTGCATCAGTAAGCGTTTGATTGAAGCGTTGAGTGTATCGAAGTGATCGCAGCTGTGGTTTGTGCTCATTGACAGTCGAACAATTATTCAAAAACAACAACAACACTTACCACCCCCCCCGTCTTCCTCCTCCCGCCCGCTCCTCCGCATGGTATGAAAGAGTGACGTCTATAAGTATTATGCCCAAAAAGAAAAGACATCCCACCTCCATCGCGGCTGTAGCCACGACAACTTCGCAGGGCCATCCTGCAGCTGTGACTTCACCCTGTGAAGTGCGCCAGCAGCTAATAATGCCTCAGATGTGCAAACAGCGTTCAAACAAGGTCAACACGGATACCAACCCCATTGCTACCGAGTCCCAGCGTAACGCAGTCGGCGGTGCTTTTACATCTGCAGAAAACGGCGCTCTGACCGGAAGCGATAGCGTCTGCGACGACCAAAGGACAGAGTACGCAGATTTCGTTTTGAGGGCAATAGCGTTCGTCTTTTTCATTCCTAAGTACTTTTTTTTTCCGCTTCTAAAGTATCGTTTGCTTATTAGGCGTGTGAGGCAATCGTACAGGCACACAAAGCTGATGTGCTTTCAGAATATCCTTTTCCACTATGGAAAAGATGCTTAGCGGTACCGATCGAGCTAACACGAAATGGAATCGATCTGTAATATCAAAAACAGTGCGACCCGTACCACGTACCCGTATAGCACGTACTATAGCGTAATGGCCTGCTTAGATCCGATGAACTGATCGACGTAAAATTGGTATCAAACGCCTCTACAGTGATCAGCTACCGTAGTTAGTCTTAGATCTCTCTAAATAACGCTTTGTTTATTATTTATAATATGGAATCATATGTCGATGCTGTTGATCTTACTGTGTTTTAAGACACTGTTTATTTAGTAGGTGACCGTTGGTGCAGAGTGTGGTTAGAAAAGTGACAAACCTTAGTCTCATACTCTAGAATGATGCTATTTACGATAATCGTATGACATTTCGCGATACCTTTCTTTATATTCGAAATACACTTATTGAAATCTTAGACCGTTTACTCAGATACCATCACGCGGACTTTCAGCAGGCGAGCTATAAATAATGAAAAAAAAAAATCCTATGAATATCAGCGGCGAAAGCATTTTGCTATATAATTCTCGTGTTTGGTGGAGGCTGTATTACTAGTAATATCGTGAGCCGTGGGCTCTAAAAATCCTGTAAAAGAAATTTGGAACTCGGAAATGGGTTTCATAATGCTAGATACCTAGGGAAGATGCATAACAAAAAGTTTAAACACTGTGACGAAAGCCGACCCATTTTTAGAGTGTGCCGGTGTTAGTATCTGGATCTGATGATATAACTGTTTACCTCGACTAACTGGATAAATTGCTATCGCATTATTTGCTCCGTACCGCTTTTACCGTTATAACTGGATCAAATTGGAACTTGTGATAGGAGTGAAATTTTTTTTTACAAGCATTTCAGTGGGTGGATGCAACTGAGTTGGCCGGGTATCACTGTCAAAGCAAACAAAAAGCTTAGGTTGTTTGCTACAGAGGTTTTGTTAATGACCGGGGATAGCTGATGACAACTTAGCGCAACGTAGCTAACACTGCGGGGAGGCTATACTGCGGGAGGGCTAAACCGGCCCCCTTTTCCTCACAATAATTGCAGTGTTAAAAAAATATAGGAGTTACAATTGATACTCCCACAGAATAATATATTTCAAAACGGTAACGACTTCTTAATTTGAAACTTTGTCGGGATAGGGGTATTGGCTATCGATTTCATAGAGTCTATAGAGAGTAGCAGAACCTCACAGAGTATAATGGTGCATACTTCGAAAATGAAAAAAAAAACTAAGTTCATAGAGTAAGTGTAAACAGTTAGAAATATTATCATATTTAATACATGGATGGGTAAGCGTGTTAGTCATTAACATGCCGTTGAAGATTTCCGTTTTGAACAGACACTTCTATGAAGTTATATATATATACTGAAAGGCATGGTTTTATTGTTGCAAAATGAAAATAAAGACACGCCCAAAAACAAAGTAGCGTATGTACAAAATCACTAACAAACAGTTAAAGTAGATGTAGTGAACCTGTAGGGTCGAGCGATTTTTGCAACGCGTATAGGAACTTATGTACCTCCCTGTTGAATTGGCGTAGATTTAAATGGGCATCAGACCCAACAGACCCCCTAGACTTGTTGAGCGCATTGCGACACTTAACGTTATATATTTTTTCACATGAATTTATCACCAGCCTGAAAATACGGTGCTAACAAGTGAATCAATAATTACTAACTACCTATAGTTTTTGCTTCTCGATAGGCCATTTTGTGCACAAGTCTTTTTTTTTTTTGTTATACGAGATGTTTTCGCTATTCAATGTATACAACTTTAACTATTCGACTTGCCAAGCTCAAGGACATTAAAGAAAAACAATATAGCTGATTCTGTGAAGCAACTATATGTAGAATCTTTTCATAGCGCGGTTGTCAAATTCATTTGTACTGGCCTTTAGAAACAATACAAAACGAACGTGACCTGCTCAGTGGTTTCGTAGATTTCCCACTGATCGTTATTTAGATTCTGTCAGTTCGGTCCAAAGGAGTACGTCGGTTCGTCCCATTATTTAACTGGGCTACGACGATGAGGGGTTCAGTGTTTCGGGAAGATAAATGTATATTGGGTACGAACTGCAAATGCTTTCCGTGTCGAATATGCTCTTCACGGCGTTACTTTGTCTTTCCTTATCGAAGAATTTTGCCCATCCTCGCTATTTATTATCTGTCCCACTATTCATCTGGTCACAATTAAGATGTCATTATTACTCCATTCATCTCTTTATTAGCTAACTGCTGGACAGCCATAAACGAAATGTAGAGGAGGAAAAAGTTAGATAGGAATTATCTATCCATAGCATGGGAAGGTAATCAAAGTAACGTTATTAGAGTCCTTTCCGGTCCTTCTTCCTAATCTTTTCATGGATAGTGTGCCTTCCTAATCCTATAATTACGTCGATAACTTGAGGCGAAATAAATCCTTATATTACCACTATAAAAGAGAACTAAAAGCGGAAATAAACTAGTTTATTCTCTAGAAAAATGCCATACCCATAGTAAGCTGCCGATTGAGCAAATAATTACGTAATTACGACATTATGGCGTTTTCCACCACGAAAAAGCTTGCACATAAAGACCAGCTAATAGAGAAAAGCTACCAGGCCGTCGTCATCTTGTCGTCCGGAGTTGTTGCAGCCAACTAATTACGGGAAATCTGTAGGTGTTGTATTGTATTAATTTTGTTTGTATTTCAACAGTAACAACCAGTAGAAATTACATCTGTATTGCTCCAGACTGCTGGTAGGTATGTGTAATGAATTGCATACATGTACTATATAGATGTTCCGCTGTGACGAGGTGACTTCCTTTCCATAATAAACCAAGCGAGTACCTTATCAATGTGTCTAGTGTCCCAACACGCCAAGAAAGAAAAAACGAAGATAAGAGAATATCTTCGTTTCGTAAACGCTATTTCCGCTGCCATAATACATAATCAGACATACGACAGGCTTAGATATGGCTTTTTACTTAGTCCCGTCATGCCGTCAAACGAGATGCAGAGCTGACTAAAGGACGGACGTCAGCGTACATTCTCTGTCCCTAGAAGCAGACAAGGTAGTACTTAATTGCGCGGATTATTCGCCCAAGCCAAAAAAAAGCTTAAGCGAAATTCAAGATGCCGTGACATTACTCCTACATTCGGAAATAGGCCAATAAGGGCCTCAATACACAAACTGTGCTATGTTACAAACAGGTCGTTGCCTCATTATGTCGCTTGCAGGCCGTTACTCAACCGTATGCGACTCTAGTTCACCCTATGAAACTCTATTTTTCACTGCCAAAGTATTTATACATATATTTAAACAATTAGAGTAGAATCGTGTCACCATCGACTCGTCATTGCTCCTCAAACGGGTCAACTGGCATAAACGACGGCCCCAAAACAATTATATGATGTGTCAATGGGTTGCCTGACGGCATCATGGTGGGCCGAAACAATAGGATATTCTGGTGCAGGTTATCGTCGATTTTGTCCCACGCACGGTAGCGTCTAATTGAAACGAACAATAAACCGTATTCCCCTGACTGTTCATATCTCAAGTTACGCAAAGGGTCACTCTATAGTTATTTGGTTAGCGAACTTCCGCTTGCCACTGTTGTTACCTAAAATGAAGGACCATGTTTCAACTAACAGGAACAACTTACAAGTTCTCCACGTGTTTTCGCTGATGTTTCTGATCAAGCATGCAAAGTTTATGCAATGTCGCCTTACGCCTTAAATTTGTCGATAGGATGACTCGCGGGCAGTGGTAGGCTCCTTGAAGCCTGATTATCGTCATTCGCGAAGCAGTGCGTGCGGCGCAAAGCAAGTGATGCTGACACGTTCAGACATTATTGCATTGACAAATAGATAGGCTTGCGTGCTATCCTGCAAAGTATATAATTGAAATGAATCCCAGCCTCTATAACATTCAAGACCTAGAAGATACTTTGGGATGCTCGACTGGTGTTTGGTCAGCATAAGAGAATCGCTATTTTACATATGTAATTCATTAAGCATTGTTTTAAAAAAAAGGGTAAAGCGCAATGAAACACCAAAGACCGTGTGGTGAAGGTTTTGTGCGCACTGATCGCAGCGGATTTCAAATTTCGGCGGGATCCCCATTAAAATGTTTTCTAGATTGAGAGGCTTGTGCGTCTCCTTGAGTTTATCTTATTGTTGATAAAATGAAGAGCAGTGATGATATTTGGATAATCAATGAATGTCATCTACTTTTATTATTACTGTGCTACCGGGAAGTTATTATTAATAACTACATGTACGTGTTTAAAGTCATGAATACGGATCTAACGGTTTTTGATATGTAATGACGAGGAAATTTGGAAAACGAGAAAAACATAATTTTTGTTAATGGCGGAAAATTTTCGAAGTTATTCTGACGATTGGCATTTCGCATTAGCGAATAATGCTGCCGAATTGAGTATGATGCCGTATTTTCGGGAAATTAAGGTGCATTTAACCGAGGCAGTACATGCGATAGGTCATTACCTTTCAGTTGGCTTTCTGCCCAAACGTAGGCTTACGTGAACATAGCGTTTAACGTTTTCACTCAATCGATTAATTTTCATATATATATATATATAGAGATAAATATAGAGATTCGCTTCATAAAAAGTATGTATTTGAAAATTGCATCGCAAAAAGAATCATTATTAGTAAACTATTAGGAAATGAAGAGTGGTATTGTACCGCGGGCGAATGCAAATAATACTTACATACAGAAGAATATACTCAGCAAAGTGGAAATTAGACGTCTTAATATATATATATATATAGTTTTATTATTACTATATACTATAGATTAAATTATCCGATTTTTCCTAAATAACACTGATGTAATAATATATATATTAAACTGTCCTTATTTGTTTTGATTGTAATACGGACCTTCGTACCCTATTCTTATCATTCCACTAGAGTCATGTTAAGCAGGTTCACACAGCTTGAATCATGAGGTTTTTAGCTGAAAACTACAATTTGTGTTGACGACAGATTGGCTGATGCGGAGTTTAACCTTGTTCACTCGTTACAAAATACTGTTCGCACGTACTTCTTCTCCAAATAGGTGCTGGTGCACTCAAACCCGATTGCACTCAGGCTGTTTCCTTGACTGATTTCCCAAATTCGGTATCTCGCAGAAGCAATACCGTTACTTCCTTCTAGTCCAGTCACTGTAACCCGATGAGAAAAATTATGAAAATCAGAGTGAACCGAAAAAGCGCTTTCTATCGGAATATCCAATAAGGGTGAAGTGTTACTCGTGTTAGTGCTGAATGAAGCACTTCTTTTTTTCTTTGCATTTCGACGCCGTTGTCACGAAAAGAAAACTTCCAATGAAAAATCCTGATCCTTTGCGCGACCGAAGGTCACGTAACTTAAGCATTTCGCTAAGTTGCCGCCAGTCAGCAGGTTTAACGTGAAAAAGAAATGTCCCAAACTACGTTAATCAGTTTCTGATTGGTGGCGATTTATCGGGCGGTTTGCATAACCTCTGAATTTTTCATAGCCTTCGTGCAGCAGCTCCGTGTGTATTCACTCGGCCTTCATTATACTACCAGTATGGACAGGAATAGGGTACAAATCTGCAATCTTTCGGTTTTTAAGCTTCTATGCTCGCTCGTTCAACAGCTGCTATCGGTGCTATACGTTATTATCTGACCAATTTAGCTATCCATTTGACTGTTTCCTTAATCACTACTTGATAGAAACCACATGTACTCGTCGTAGGGAATGATGTGTATGCTATTTCGGCCCTGTACATCAGCTTTCTTGCGAGCTTTTCCTCTCTTGTTGCTTCTTATTTACGCTGTGTCAGCTTCATTTGCGTATTCTTTGTAACGACGGGTGTTGGCACCTTGGTAGCGAGTCGGCACAGGATTGCCCACGATCCTCACTGCTTGTGGCCCGTTTTGTAGCAGTACTGGCTGTAGCGACAATCGGCTGGAATAACTCTCGCCGATATCCAGCGTAACCCTCTCTAATCCCGGGCAAAATCAAGAAAACGCCTTCCTTGATTAGACATCGACGTGCGGCCAGTGTCCTGCTTCTAGTGAGCGCTTCGTTCTACGTGCCAATTGTTCGAGCGTCAAAATGCTCCGATAGTTTTCTTTGAGAGGGGCCGGCTCGTTCGGTTTCAAGCTATTTTCTGTTTACGGTGATTGTTTAGTGCTTGGGCTTAGATGTGTAGCTCAAGCATTTTTCGAACATTATCGAACTGGGAAGATGTGGGACTGTGGCCCGGTGTCTCTACGCAACGACCTTAGTAAGAAATTAATTTCGCTTCAGTTTTCTTAATGCTTATCTGTGTGGCCGATTCTCGTTGAAAACTCAGCTTTAGCTTTGTTTATTCAAAGAAGAGCTTACAGTTCAAAGAAACTGTGAATATCGGTGAGAAACGATAGTACTCATAATATGCTGATGTATATATACCGTCTGGTAGCACGTCTAGAGTGAAGGAAATCGTGTGGGAAGATATCCACTCGAGCGCAACACTAACGCATCCCAGATCGCAAATTGGAAGCTTGGGAAATTTTTTATGCGCAAATTCTATTGCAAAGACTCGCGGTCAAACTAGAAACGTGCAAAAGGTAAGACCAAGCCGTCACTTTTGTTTTAAAGGTCAAACCTTCTACACGACAATTTACATACATCGTATTTTTATTTCCTTTACAGATAGTCAATAGATTATTTTGACATAGATGGCTTTGAGCTGCTGCTTGCCATCGGAACTTAGGTCCCAAGAGGAAGGTCATTACACGTCTTCCGTCTGACAACTAGTTTTTTAATTCACGGAAACGTTTTGTTAACCACATGAGTGAAATCTCTAAGTTAATTTCGATAGAGTTTTTAATTAACTAGAATAACTAAAAGTTGCCGGAACTATCTAGTCTTCTTAGTGTGCTTGCTAACATTCTATAAAGTGTACTTACCCTTGATGTGTGATTTGGTGACATGTAACTTTACATCTATAATAATAGATTGCAATGGAACTAAAGACAATTCAACACCGTGACAATATGCAATGACAGTCGCTGTTATGGGTAGATAAAGCACACCCAAAAATCCTTTTCTGTCCCGTCATACACATACTTGTTAGATAAATCTATGCTATATATGTGTACGGTAGTAAATCTTAACATGTCAGCCATCAATGTATAGGCAGATCTTAGACATCTGTAAAAATCCCGCCTTCGAACACGGTAATTGCATTATTTTAGATCAGCTTATATGATAAAGGCTAGGTATCACACTGAAAAAGACGGAAGCTAAATGGAACGTGGCACTTTCAGTTATTGTGTTTCTTCTAAAAGCACATCTCGACAATTGCCTTCAACTCTTAAGAATCAAACGCATTCCTTTTTATAGGATAGCATCCAATCTTAGTGAGCTGTATTTCTAAACAAGGTCAACGTATCGGTAAAATTAGAAGTCATTAATGAGTCTGGTGAAGATTCTATTTTCTTTGCATGAATTAATCTTTTTTTCTGTTCTACAGTCTGTTTACGTTTCGCGCGAGAACAAAGTGATTGTTTTGACCGACATTTATCCCTATATTTGATTCTAATGCTATGTTGTAAGCGAAATACTCGAGTCTTCATAACAGTGAAGAATTTAAGACATGCTTATAGCAAGGACGTTGCTTTTCCACTGTGGGTATTTTACTCTCACTTGAATCTCTCACTAATACTATACCGATAATGGTACATTAACTCGTTGTTTGTTGTTGTTTGTAGGAGGGAGCGTCAAATGAAGATGGCTCGCAATTCGATCACGGTTGTGCTTGGATCCCAATGGGGTGATGAAGGTAAAGGGAAACTCGTCGACACACTCGCCTCCGAGGTACTATCATCAGCTATTGTTTAAACTGACATCATAAATAGATGGACTAATTACGTTTTTAAATATTCATCTAATGAAGTATACAATAATATTATGTTTTGGCGATGTTTGCAACAATAACACTCGGAGGATAATTAGATTTCTCGGCACAGTTTTTGGGAAAATTATTCTTTTCGTTCTCAAGTGTTCGGGCATTCTTTATTACTACTGTTAAATATATTTGCAAAAATACTGTTATGTATAATAGGTATGCAAAGTGAATATCACAAGGCTCACCTGCGCTATTTTCTGCTACGCAATAGGTCAACTTGGTGCTAAGTTAACCGTTCCGCCGAGCCTAAAATAACTGATCGTAAACACCATCATGCATAGAATTGTGTAGGCTTTTTTTTTATCTCGTATTGCTACGCAAGATCCGAGTGCAAGCACCCAAACTGGATATTTAATGTATTCTGGTGTCATTTACTACAGTTAAACCATGAACCGCAGTCGCTTTCTGCAGATGTAGTCTGCCAAGACTGTAGCTGTGTGTTTGGTTTTCACGCCTACTATGAATAAAAACAGACAATATCGTTTCCTGGCGTAAACTTAATAATAAGTGCCCAGGTACTTCAAAGCCCTTACATTTCCTTGTTCTTGTTTATATATTAGTAGACTTAAATGTCATCTGTGTACACACAGAAGGGACTAACTTAGACCTGATTCGGGCATCGTGCGGTGTCAGTGAAGATTGTTTATATTTAAAGCGAATGTCCTTTTTATAGAAAGGCTTCTATCCATTTCGGAGTGAGTTTGTAGCGAATGATATATTCTGGCGCGTGCCGAAGCTCTCGATAAGCAACACCAACGTAGAGTTTCCGGAGTCGAAAAGAAGCTGTTGGCACAGAAGTTATTCGAATGGCCTTTGGCAGATTAGGCATACCTTTTATAGCTCAGCGCCAAGTCCTTGCTGAATTACGTTGAGTCGAGTTTCTCTTAGTTGTCTGGGAATACCTAAGAGGATCTGTATATATTCACAACACGCGTGACATTCTTCGAGCGAAGCTAGTGACTAAATGTGGATTCTCGCCGTCGTATTCTATTCCTAGTATTATCTTTACTCACCGTTTTGGGGTTCTCAAGCGGGGAACTTGCCTTGTATGGATTGCCAGCTGCCAAAGGCCTTTGCCAGGAACTAGCGCTTTTTTTCGTTGCTGTACTTGGTTAAAGGTTTGTATAGGTGACTTAGATGATGCAATTTTAGTTTTCCAGATAAATCATTGCCATTCGAGAGCTTTACTGGACGTTTTAGCTTCGGTAGTGCCTGTAATATTGCTTCAGTCGATCGGCTTCTTTCAGTATAAGATGGACGTTTGTCCATGTCCAATTTCGGACCTAGGTTACCTTACTAAGTGTCTGTAAGGAGCTTTGTTATCACAAACGTGGAGTTTTTCCCGGAAGTTCTACTTTCCGCACGTCAGTATTGCCATCGACAGGGGCAGACAAATTATTCTTTGAAAAAAACAAAAAAAGACAGCATAGATGTTTTGTGTACGCATCTCGTCTCATCTGATCGTGGGCGTCCTTTTTCGATTGAGTCGAACGATGAGCCTTGGACTCTAGGAGATAGCTCAATTTTTGTTTCGGTCTATTTTTAAAAACATTGAGGAAAATGTAGATTTTTTCCAGTCCGTCTAAAGGCAGTTGATGTTCGCAGCCGCGGATCTGCACGATAGAGTTCAATGTCAACATGATATATTTTCCGGATAGGCAACGTATGCTATGCGTACACACATTTGATAGGGTGCATTGGCGCTAAACGGTTCCCAAAGTCAAGTTGAGGAGAACAACTCTTTTTTCGCTGAGTTCGCAATATGTACAATAAAAGCACGCTGATCATTTTTAAATAGCACATTTCAACGTATTATAGTTGATCGCTATAATTTTTAAAAAAATGTCGTTTCTGACTATCGTTATTGTGGTGAGCTAATATGGACGACGGTGTTCCGGCATTTCCAAATAACCGCTCGAGTTAGCAGCACTAACAACATAATGTATCGTTGATTTAATTCGTGTCGTAGTATACTTTGGTTACGCTTAATGTTATATTAATAGATGCACTCTTCCTATAAGGTGGATGTCGTTGCTCGATGCCAGGGCGGGAATAACGCTGGCCACACGGTCGTCGTTGACGGGATCCATTATCATTTTCATCTCATCCCAGGTATATATTCAGGCTCACGTTTGATTTTACCTTGACTTATGGATATATACTAGAGTTGATTTTTCTGTGTTGGTTGTAGATATTGGATTCTTTCGAACATTACCGACTACGTGAGAATCACCAAAAAAGAGTAGCTGATATCACCCTACTTTTATATGTCGTCTTATAGTGGCCTTGAAAATTTACTAAGTAGTGCTAAACTTTCGTTATACTTATTTGCTGTATGTACCGTCAAATACAAGGAAAAACATGTATCTCTACACATAAATTCACTTCGATGTATCTTGACCCTCATGTCACCTTCGCTCTTTCAATGTGGTGTGCAGGCCTTGACGCTAAGTCCTAGTGCCGCTTTAAACAGTACTCGTGTCTGTACAGCTGCTTGCAATGCCATACATACGAAGCAGTCAACAAAAACTCTTGTCAGACGCGAGTCATCAAATGATAGAAGTTGCTTTATCTAAATGTACTGTTGTATAGGCTCTGCCGTGGTGCTAGACGTTAATAGATGTGCAGCGATTGAGCCGCAGTTTTCGCCCGCGGTTGCTCATTTCAGTGACCTTTGACTCATTCTGCTCCATACATGGAACAGCGCCGCCGCAGGTCTGGCGTCATGCATTTCCGCTTTCTTAATAAATGGCCACACACGAAGCTTTGAGCTGCGCTGAAGCTAGGCAGAAAAGGAAAACGAGCGAAATTTTACGTTTTGTTTTTTTAGGCACTGGGTGTCGACGTGACGCGTCACTGTTTAGATGGCCATAATTCATACGATCGCTTCCCTTTTCCTATTTTTCGAAAATGCGTCCTTGGAACTTCAGACTGACCATTTAATCATAGTTACTGACAAAAGCCAAATAACGACGACATATAGAAGGGGCGTTTCAGTGCGAGCCCTTATGCAGTATAGCATTAAATTGTCAGTAGGTTAATTCCAGAGAAAATTTGAAGTGAGAGAAGAACATATTTGATGACCAGTGAAGTTCCGTCAATCAGAAATGCCGTATACGACGGCACGAAACGCCATGCCAAAATACTTAATTCTAGAAATACCTTCCAAGTTACGTTGATACAGCATCGACACTTTGCACTGTCATATCGTACCGACAATTATATGTGGACGTTGAGTTCCGGTAACATCTTGCAAAGGGAGTATGACGCTTGAGGTGAACGACGCTGTCCACATGATGTAGACAGATACATCGTTTGCCATTTACCGCATCGTCTTTGAGGAGTATCTACGTATATATTGTTCGACACGATGCTGGCACACAAAACGAAATCGTCTACAAAGCTTACCAAAAGTTTGTTAAAATTTGTTTGGAGAGAGCCAATAGGAAACAAGATGTTCTTGTTGTTGGTTGATTTTAAAGAACACTTTGATCCTACTCGCTTGCCGATGCCATGCATTTAGGACTTGCAGTAAGTCCTGCGAATACCTGTCATACTGAGGCTTCAATCAATAGACGACATCGCAGATGCGTATCTATATAAAATGTTCCTTTAAGTTTACTAATTGAAAAAATTGATTTAATACACTTTAATTTGATCGAAGTATTGCTTCTATATAAGCGTTAAAACTAAAACGTTTGGTGTTAGATCGCTGCCTTGTTTGCCTTCGAAACCATATCGCAAAGCTTAGATATTAGAATGTATTTTTGTATTGTATATACTGCAGATATTGTAGCCACCCACTTTCATTATGATGAAAAAAAAAACAAACAATTTGAAGCAGCTACTCCTGATTACTTATCTATTCGGTTATTTCTCTCTTTGTATATACAAAGTACCGTTTCGAGCTGACAACTCGCTCTACTGCGTGCTAATAGTAACCAGAGGGAAATATTCGTGTTGTTGGCGATCATGATTTTTGCCATAATGAAATGACTAACAAAATGGATACATTGGATACTTTTAAAGGGGAACAGCTTTAGGATCCTGGGTGGTCTGTTATAGGCCTTCGATCCACATTGCATGCTGTGATAATAAATCAGCTACGTTTATTTTCCAGTTTGACAATTTCTACAAGCGGATCTTTTAGGCGGCTGGTCTAGAGATGCCTTTGTAACGTTAAGCGTTAGTTTTTTGTTACCGATAGCATTTTTGAACATACTTATAGACTCACTACGCAAACAAGACTATAGATTTTGAAGTTGAAATTAAAATAATTGGATTTAGACTCGAGGGATTTCATCGAGCAAGTGATGATAGCTTTTTAGCTTGGGCGACCGGAATATTGTGTGTAATTTACCGTGTACTCTTTGTTCTGGTCATTTTGCGAACGCGTTGTTTCTTAAACAAACCTCTTCCAGGTGGAATGATACACAAATCCTGTATCGGCGTAATCGGCAACGGATGTGTGGTCCATTCTGGCCAGATCATTGAGGAGATCGACCATTTGCATGAACGTGGTCTCAGTTTGGCTGGTCGTCTCTTCATTTCGAATCGCGCGCACATTGTTTTCGATTTCCACCAGATGTGTGATGGACTTCATGAGGCTGAAAAGAGCAAAAAGCAACAAAACATCGGAACTACTAAGAAGGTTTGCCGCACTCAGACTTTCTTTTTTTTTTTTACTAGGGCACGACACCAGCTTGAATGCTCATAATAGACTTGCTGCATAACCATCAACATGTAGGTCAGACATGACCTGTCTGGGCGAGAGGGATGCGGCATAACCGCCAAATCCTACATCCTCGTGTACATAGGGCCTAGGCAGGGTCGCGTGCTCTGACCTACGTACAACTAATGTCGTATATCCTTACAATGTGTTCTCCGCAGGGCATTGGACCGACGTATAGTTCGAAAGCACAACGAAATGGAATGCGAATGTGCGATCTAATAGGTGAATGGAGTGTGTTTGAAACCAAGTATCGTACGCTTGTCGAATTTCACCAGCGGATGTTCACCGACCTCAAGGTCGACGTCGAGGAAGATTTGAAGAAGCTCAGGTTAAACGCAGACAAACTTCGGCCGTTCGTACGGGATACGGTTTCGTATATTCACGAAGCTATTCGCGAGGGCAAAAGGATCATGGTGGAGGGTGCCAACGCCGCCATGCTTGACATTGACTTCGGCACTTATCCATATGTGACATCGTCAAACTGCACAGTTGGCGGCGTTTGTACCGGTATCGGTGTTCCGCCGAGTTTCATTGGCACTGTCTATGGTGTGTTTAAGGCATATTGTACGCGGGTCGGCGATGGACCATTCCCAACCGAACTTTCTGATAAGTTAGGCAAACTGCTTCAGGAACGTGGCTGCGAGCGTGGCGTGACGACAGGTCGACCTCGAAGATGCGGATGGCTTGATACTGTTATGCTAAAGTACTCGACGCTGGTCAACGGCTATACGGCGTTTTGTTTGACTAAATTAGACATTTTCGATGTGCTTGATGAGATCAAAATCGGTCATAAATACAGAATTGGCGACACAGTACTGGACTGCCCACCGGCATCACTCGATGAAATGGCAAAGGTTCAAGTCGAATACGTCACATTACCTGGATGGAAGACGTCTACAGAAAGCTGCCGCAAATTTGAAGATTTGCCCGAAAATGCTAAAAAGTATGTGAGAACGTGTGAGGAGCTATTGGGTGTTCAAGTGCAATATATTGGAGTGGGAAAGTCGAGAGCAGATATAATTAGGGTATTTTAACACTAAATTAACGAAAATGGACGATAAAAGAGAACCAAGATTCCGAAGATCTTGAGGGACGTTAGACTGCTTCATAGATTGTTCGTAAAAGCAGAATGCACATCAGCTAGGAGCATATTTGTTCGAGGCATCTCCAACTACGTGAGTTGACCGCCTCTTCAGGTCGTCCCATTGAACTGTTACTTAATATTAATAAATACATTCAGTATAGACTTGTCATTTGTCCAGCGTGTGATTACTTTCCTAGGATACTAGAAGAACAGTTTTTTGTTTAATCAGGAACTACGAGGGATATTATATATTCATTGTATTAGCTATGAGTCGTTTGCTAAACGGCGAACGTTGAATAGTGCATAGCGAATTAGAACAAGGGAACAATTCGAAATGGCTGCAATACCCATTTAATCCGGTGCTTAAACAATCCTCGTCCGACTCATCTGTTAAGAAATATGACCCATAGAAGCAACGTTACAACGTTGCATGCATTTAGCTATATCTAGTCAGCATTACTGCTTAATCTACAACGTAGGAGTCCAATTGTTCGAGTTGTGGGCGGTTTTCCACAACAGAGTTTCATCTTTCCCGTGGACTGATTGTTCCAGAGGTTCCTATTTCAGGCAGCTACTGGAATTCGCGCAGTAATGGTCTGATTTCCTGGTAAAAATCCGCAGACTTTCACACAAACTCCTTCACACGGTCTTCGAAAGGCCAAAATAGCACGATTGACAGCTGGGCTATTTAGCACTAGGTCCCGTTTCTGCCAACACTATGAAATTGCTCATTGTTCTCTGCCACATCATCAAATCGTTGCGTAGAACAAAAACAATAATTGATAATTAAATATAAAAAATAACTCTATACAAATACTAAAGCCATATAAGATTTATATTAGACGAATTTAATAATGGTGACACATTTATAAAAAAAAAAAAAATAATTCATGATCAACAATCAGCGGGGTGTTCTACGACAAGATATTAATTGAGTCGAGCTATTGAATAGAAATATCTGTTAATCATGTGTTATAACTTACTGGGCTATTTGAATGAAACACTAAAATATACGTGTCGCACTCAGATAGTTTTACAATGTTTACTAGAAACAGATCCGCATTTTGCCGAAATGCTCTAAAAATCATGTCTCATTCATTTTACCTAAGAGAATAGCTAACAAACAAGATTAAATTAAAATAAGTAATTCTTGCAATAAAACGCAGATATACTGAATCGTACTCGATCTACCCAAACAGTATCGACGATACCGTACGAAAAAGTTCACTAGGCTAAATTAAATTTCTCTGCACTTTTTCAACGTTTAACACTCACTATATATATTAGGTTATTCAGCATAGTCTTATATAGTAAATTTTTACTTTTTTTACAAAATTTTTACTCTTTTAACAAACTTTTTTACAGGTTTAATTTTTCTGTTCTTAATCGAAGTGCTTAGATTGAATATTCGTCATTTTCTGCCCTTCGGACGGTCATTTATTTATTACGCTGCTCTAGAAATTTGGGTGTATGAGAGTTGTTTTTCAAGACCTGATGGAGTCTTGAGAAGCGACTTCGGCATACGTTGAGATTTGGTAAATTTTTCTGTTGAAAAGTTGAAGCATTGAGGAAAATGGTAATCCGCAAAAGCAATATCTAGCGAGTGTGATCGAGTTCTTCCTTATTTCTTCCTATTGTTAAGCGAATCGGAATTTACGAAGCTGTAGTGAACAACACCTGCATGAGATGAACAAATAGGTTCGCTTCAGGGTGATGTCCCACCGATAGTATCATTCTGCCATAACGGTATAATAATAATACGATCGTAAAAAATTAATTTTTCATCACAAATTATACTTCGTAGCAAGAATAGGCCAGAGAGTTCAAATAACAGAGAGCAAAAAAACAGGCGTATCTACATATCCATTCTTGACACTTGTCTAAATAATGTGGCACCAGTCTTTGCACGTGATTCATATAGCCGAGATAAACGAATATGGTACTTTAAACTAAGGCCTTAGTGTCTGGTCACTTTTTTATCACTCGGCTTCAGCCACAGTTTTTTTTTTTTTACTTTTCTTCGTTGATCAGCTGAGCCAGAGGTCTTCCACATTCACCCATTTTTAAGCTCAGCGTGTTTTTCCGAAATTTTTATAAATCACTGAATATTATACGGTCTGTACCACGAATTATCTCAGCCGATAGAGAAGACGTATTCGCAGGCTATTTAGTTTTCGAATTTTCATGGATCACGTAAACCCGCCTGCTAAAATGCCGCGTCACGTTATTCAAAAAGAATTTTGAATAAAATTTGAGATTAGTGTTTGTCGCGTTTCATGCTAAATGACTTGTGTACAGGAATTGTTTTGATGGTATGTGAACTTCTCCTGTTAAATTAAAACACAATTATTTATTAAGTAAAGTTTTACTCGCTGCATTCTTAGTGTGTGTTTTTACACGTTGTCGTCATTTACTGCATCACACATAAATTCCTTGCTGTTATTATTCAGAATAAAGCCTTTATTGCTAAGCTAAACATTTCGGGTCTACGTCCGGTGCCGCCGTTAGACATTCAGACTAAGTGAAACGTGCCAACGTTCATATTCGAAAATACTTTACCACGTATGCCCGTTAGTAGGCATATACGCTGCCCACATGGGCATCAGTAGCATTGCATCATGCGCTAGTACTAATGGTACCATTACTATTACTACTAGTGCACTGAGCGTAGTCTTAGCCATTCTCTCTCAATGTGTGTTTATCCTCATACATAATATTTGTGCTTTCTCTCTTAATGAATAATAGCTCTCTTTATTTCGTCTTCTACAGCGAAGCGTGCACGGTTCAAACCTCTGCGAAGGTGGAACCTTTCGTATTTCATAGCACTTCAGACTCACGTCATTACAGTATGACTATAGAAATTCGACAAAATCCCAAGGTATCCTCATGTTCCACGAAAATCAACATTCAAAACAACATTTCCAGCATTAATAATCTATATGCCCCCAAAACTATTTTTTTTCCTTGAAAAAAAACCCTGACATAAATAGAAACAAGCAATAAATTACAGAAATATTCTATCTCGCTACATCCTAGCGGGTATTTCGTTCACCGAACTTCAGTGAATTAGATCATTCGATATTGGAACGTTATTATCACAAAAACATAACGGAGAAAATGTGTAATTTCTTTTATCGTTCAAACTATTGGCTCCTTCCAGCCATATCCCGAATATTGAAACAGTAAAATATATATACATACATATGTAAGGTACTGCTTAATCACTGGACAATATTTAGGTTCGTTCGATTGGCTTAAGACAGTGCGTAGTAATACCTATTGTTTGAATCGCTTTGTTGAGAATCCCTTTCTGTAAACGGTACAAAGATCAGTCAATCAATAACATCTGAGACGATACCGCTTTCACTTCGGTCAATTGCTAGGTTATACAGAGTACATAGTATGAACTGAAATCAACATGTCAATGATGTGTAATACGGTAAGAACGAAACAACGTGGCGCGAACAAAAAATACTAATGTGGTCAATAAACAGTCGAAATCAAACCTAAGGAGAAGTAATCAATAGGTAATATCCCTCTGATACACGCTGACATTTGCGTCAGAGGCCTCTGTAGGGACGTACTTGAACGGTGCATATATATATATATATATATATATATATATATATATATATATATATATATATGGTACTATAATTTTGGTCCATTGACTTTTAATAGCCCATTGAAAACTGCCATAATGTCACTATTTCCAGTTGTCATATATTTATATATAAATGTAATCGGTATATTTTCTAACATTTTTTTCGTTACCTTTTTTTTTTTATAAACGAATACCATTGTAAAAATGTATCATAATTATGTGTATTGGCTATAGTTGATTCGAGTACCCTCCCCCCCCCCCCCCCCAAAAAAACCTGTAGATACATACACAAATACCAGTTATCTTTTAGTGCTAATTATATTTCCTTTTCATATTTATTATTATCCACAGGAAGATTAAAATTGGAGATCGCAAAATTTTACTCCAACCTCTGCGAGTTCATCTAACGCTCTTTTTCCTTGGTTCTGTTTCGCATTTTAGAATTCACTTGTTAGATCTGCTTGGCGGTAGTTCACATTAGCATTTATTATAATCAGGCGA